TCCGAGTCTGTAGCTGCATCTCCAGTTGATTAACAGTAATTGTGCATGACAAGTAGTGGGTAAGCTGCTGGGTGTTGAAAGAGCTTCATTTTAGGCAAAAATTATGAATAAGGAGGTTGCTATACATACGAATTAGCAAAAATCAAAATGTTTGTGAATAGCACATTATAAAAGTGATGCTTTGTGGTAGTCAAAACTAAACCTGACCATGAAAAATAGCAGAAGATCTTATCTAGTGTGAGTTACTGGATAATAAAATGTCAAATGAACCTCAGTGTCTGGTGGTACAAACTAATAAACAAAGAATACACCTATTCAAGTATATGAACATATATGTACCCCAGGAGGTACTGTTCTAGCTTCTAGAAACACTCCGGAAAGAATCTTGGAATGACTATGAAAAAGTCAACGCACTGCTTTGAGGTGTATGAAAAATGAAAACAAGTAAATGGGAATTACTAGAAAGTGATGGAGGATGCAACAGAAAGCATTGCTCTGTGCATAGATAAACTGTGCAGGTACTTGGACTGCTCTTGTAAAAAAGGCACAAAAAGTTGTGATGAAGATAATAAAGATATGTAACAGCTCTCGAATGGCACACATTCAACAAATGAGGCCTTTCAGCACAGAATAAAAAGGATGGAGAGAGGATATGACAGAAGTTTTTGCATTCATGGAGGAGGTGAACAGGGAAAGACAATTAGCTATTACTCTTAATGGTGAGGATTCAGGAATGTTCCATGAAATTATATGAGAGTAGGTTTTTGGTAAATGAAACATTTTTTTTCACCACACATAATTAAGCTTTTGTGTTAATTACTTCAGGATCTTGTGGATTTTGACATAGATATAGGATAAATATTAAATATTTATACCATCCAGATACAAGTGACATCTAAATGTGGTTAGACAAGGCATTGGCAAAGAGTGAAGCCAGGGCTATTAAAAGTATAGATCCAGACAGCCTCTGGAGGTGCCTGGGGACTGCTGAATGAAGAGATACAGACACAAGTTTGGAAAGATGTAAGGCATTACTGGAAGATGATGCCAAGATTTCTGCTACCATGAAACCTGTTTCTGTGTTGAGAAAGCTATAACAGTATTTATTTCCTTATTTCTATGAAGCTTTAATTTTCACATTAAAATCCATAAGAATCAGTTTTGTACACTTTGTAACATTCGTCATGTTCAATGCTACCAGAATAACCCTTTTTTACAGCAGAACCTTTACAGATGCCAGAGTTGTTAGTACTTGACTCTCACACCTCCTGCCAACTAGGCAGGTGTTAAGCAAAGTGTAGGCAATAAGTCTGCACCCCTGGATTTGTGCTCTGTCAGAACTCCTTGCCAGGATTCCCCTCTCCTTCCCAAATAAAGCATTACTTCCTCACACATACAAGCAAGCAAACAAAAATGAAGGAAAGGTAGCACTCAGCTTTACCATTAGAGTTTATTTGGTTGTAAAAAAAAGTCACTTGTGATAGTACGAGCAACATGAGCTGTGGATTTCTTTCAAGCACTTACATTTACCACTATCAAACTGGGGTATTATTTTATAAAACATAGTTGATTATTCCAGACATTTCTTCTTAGATTATTTAAAGATCTCACCTATCTGACTTAATTTTTTAAACCTCCAAGAGCAAAACCAAATTTACTTTGCCATTTCGCAGATACACAGGCAGGTTCTAGTTTCTTGTAATTGTTATCTAGACAAATTACTAGATCAAGCTTAAATTTTATTTAAATCCCTACTGATGAAAGCATTTCTAGTTCCAGACATGCCTCATAAAACCAAGCACAGTACTAAGTACAACTTACAGGACAGATCTTTACTTCAATATACAGACACACACCATTTGCAGCAGTACTTTATATACTTAGATAAGTTTTTATTATCTCACAAGTCATATGCATAGCATTTCACCACCTTCTAGCTTTCCTACACACCCTCTTTAACACAGCATTCTTCTCTGATAGGATTTTTGGTCACAGTGTTTTAAAAAGCAGAGACTCTTTACTGTGTGGTAATCACACATCATTTAACAGAAGTCATTCTTGGTTGGACACTGAGTAAAGTGCAGCTCATGTGAAGCAGACTTGAGCCTGACAGCAATATTGGGTAGCCACTTTACAAACAAAGCCCAAGGTAATCCAACTAGTTCATGCCTGGCTGGCCATGGCCTCCATCCTCAGAAGCTTTACTTAAAAATGGGGTTTGAGGACACTATAACTAAAAGATGCCTTTTAATTTTTTTTTTGTCAACAACAGAGCTCAAGCTCCCGAAAAATTACACCTATTGACTTTGTACATGGCAAGTAACTCCTCTTTGATTCACTATACTTTCTGCTAGATTATTTTCTCTCACTGAAACTTTAGCCCTCTGTTTTGCGCAGTAGCAGTGAAATCAAGGCTGTGCATGCTAGTGAGGATACCAGAAAGGTTTCTTACAGCTGTAAGAAAGCCCACAAGATTCCAAAGGGAAAACAATCTTAAGTCTTCTATTCTGTCCTTAGCCACGTGCTGCCCTTGTTATCCCTGCATCTGGCTACCAAGACCATTTGATTTGTTAGTATCGAATTAGTAGTTAGTTTATGTGTTCCCTGCCTTCCAAACTCAGGCCAGCTAAGGGCTCGGAGGGTTTTTTCTTCAGCCCTGCCTCACCCTAGGGAAAACCTCTGGGAGCTACATTTTATCTGACCGTTGTCCGCATTGGCTTAGGGTGCGGATTTCCTCGGGCTGCCACGGCACTGGGGCGGTTTCAGAGGGTCCCACAGGACTCTGCAGTGCCCTCCGGGGCATGTTTTCTGCCAACACTCGGGAATGAGTCGCGGCCCAGGGCCGCACTTGCAGGCTACCGAGCCCGCTCTGCCCGCTGCCCGTCCCTTGGCAGGGCTCTGGGCGAGGACGCTCCGGAGAGCCCGAAGGCGCTCCCCGCGGGGGGCACCGGGGGCTGTTGCAGCCCCACTCAGTCCCCAGCCGCTCCCGCCCCGCGGGGGGGCCCGGCCGGCGGCCCCGCTGGCCCGGCAGAGCCCAACGCCGGCCGCCCCGGCCCGGCCCCGCGGCGGGGATGGGCGCCCACACCCGGCCCGGCCCCGCCCCGCGCTCCC